TAAAACTTATTCATATTGGATTTTATCTTGTTTACAACCATTAACAAAATAATCTTACAATAATATTTATAAAAATCATGTTTGTTATTATCAAGTTATAAGATTATTTTATTAATAATTGTAAACAAGATAAAATACAATATAAATAATTTTAATTTTATAACTTACAATTATTTTTATTATTTAAAAATATTTAGATTCGAGATAAAAGTACAGAATGGAGAGATCATATTTATAATAAAAAAAATAAATATAAAATATAAATAAATTAATAATAAATCTATAATTAGAATACATATAAATTAAACAGAAAAAATTAATTTAATTCATATTTCTAAAGAGTAATTAATTATAATTTAATAAATAATAATATGATAAATAATTATAAATAATATTATAAATAATAATAAAAAGAAATGAATAAAATTATAAAAAAATATTAATAATAAATGTAATTAAAATATTAATAATCTAAATTAATAATTGTAATATATATGATAATTATTTTATAATAATATGCTAAATTTAATATATTAAATACATAATGATCATTTGTATATTCAATATGAAATTAATCTTCTTAAAAATGTAATACAAAGCTAATTTATAATACAGATAGCACAAAATAAAGATTTAAACTAAATAAGATAATTCAATTAAAATTATTACAAAATATTTAAATAATATTTTTGAACTATTCCAGAAGTTAATTTTAAATATAGTTAAATCTTAATAAACTTAAACTGGTCAGCTCAATAAATTAGTTGATTTTTATAAAACTAATTTATTTTTATTTAATTTAATTTAATAAATCAGCAAGTATTATATAAATTATCTAAACTATAAACTGGCTAAATTTATAAAATACTCTATAATATTACTATATATAAATTTATTTATTAAACTAATTTCTTTTACAAATTAATTTAATATTTTAATAATTTATTAAAATTAGAATAAAAATTATAAACTAATTTCTATTTTAATAAACTAATCAAGACTAAATTTAATATAATACTTTTTTCATATGCTTATTAAATATTATATTCTTCTTATATCTCTCTTGAAATATTATATATTATAATAAATAGTCTACATATTTTAGTTATTTTTCATATAAGTTTTTTTATTAATTTTACTTATACTAAAATTATTTTGAGTTTTAATAAAGTTAGTTTTATATAATATAAATTTCTTTAGCATAATAATATATACTTTATATAATAAAAACTCTTCTATTATGATAATATATACTTTATATAGAAGTCTTCTTAAGTATAAATAATATATATTTCATATAGTAAAGATATCTTTAATATAATAGTACTAGTACTAGTATTAGTATTAGTATTGATATTAGTATTAATAATAGAAATAGTAATAATAATGACAATAGTAATAATAATACTAATATTAATATCAATAATTAAAATAACTCTTATATTTTATATAATTAGATTAAAATAAAATTCTTATATTTGAATTCATAAATAATATAATTAAAGAAAAACATAATTTCTGGACAAATTATAATCTCATAATCTATTATATTTAAAGTACTAATAATGCTCAAAATGATTTAACAATATGAATACAATTTTATTAAGTATGAATATTTTTGGTCAGTCATCAGAAATATACTTGTGCTTTTTCCATTCCTCTTTAATCAGTTTTTGGAATTCAGCAAAGGGCCAGTCCGAATTGGGCTTGAATCTTTTCTCAACACCGTTACTACCAATATAATCAAAATATTCGTAATGATTGTGGTCATCATCGCCATATTGATAGCATTGAATCGTGACGCACACTTTCCTAGTCCGGTTCCAAAGTTGATGAGTTTGATAGTGTTTATCTGAAATCCATGTAATTTGACCTTGTTGGAAGGGCACCTCGTTGTACCATTTCTCTTCTTTTAGCCCAGCGTAGTACCGTACCATGATCTCATTGTACAAGACCTTGATGATAGCAAAGGAATTAGAGTGACTGTGGACGGGAGAATAGTGCCCGCTAGGCCAGATTTCCAAGACGTAGGGGATTCCAGGAGAGTTTCCCCGATCTTCTCCCAATGTGACGCGAAGGTAAGTTGCCTTGGAATTACCAAATTCAGCATTTTTTGCTTTTTCTTTAAGCTTTTCATAGCACCTCAAACCTGGTGTCTTGATGCTATATTCGATAGCATCAGCAAAATCAGGGAAGTCAGGAGTGTTGAGAGAGACGTCAACAACATTCCAATAGAGTTCTTGACATTTTTTTGGAAGGTTATCAATCACGGTAGCTTTCTCCATTTCCAGTTTTTCCAAGGTTGCATTTTCGCGCTTGATGATAAAGGGTGGTAGATCTACAGTGACCGGAAGATTCCAAACGGACAGTTCAATCTCTGGCTTTTTTCCCTTTTTCTCCCCGAAATCTTCCGTTTTAATTGCAGTGTAACAGACTGCGATATAGCGCAAATCTTCAATCCAAGCGTAATCATCATTTTCTTGAGACTTTTTTTGTGGAAAATTATAGGAAAAGACGGTCAGTTGACTTTGCATGGGACCCTTTCCATAGCGCAAACGTCGATTATTCTTGTCAAGGCTAAACCAGTAGAGAACCATGTGATCGTCCAAGAGAGCTTTTTTTTCTTTTGTAGAAGCCAAAATATCTGTTTTTTCGTTATTATTACGTTTTCGGAAATAAGTAACTTCTTTCCCGATGTCCAAAACTAAAACTTCCTTGCCGTCTGATTGTTTTTCTTCACTGTTTAGCACGATGCGAAAACCTTCTTTTGCCTGAAACTTCAGTCCGATTGTACCTTGCCCAGTAATTGTAAGATTTTTAATATATAATTCGGCCGGTATACCACGTAAAATATTGTCTGGATTGGAAAGGCGAAGTAAATCAGCTTGAACTTTTGATAAGTGCGGGTTACCGGGCTTGTTAGGGTTTACAGCATGCAAGTCATTCGGCATATCCTCGATTTTGTGTGGTGTATTAATATCTAAAACTATTTTTTATCATTAAAGAAAAAATTATGAAATAATGAATTATAAAAAAATTTGATGATATTTAAACTTTACCTTCATTTGGAACATATAGACTAACACTTGTGGAACCTAAATGTTGATATATTTAATTTAATCTTTTGATTGAGCATATGAAACAAATAAGCGTACCTATATCAGTTGGAATTGAAATTAATTTTGAAGTAAAAATTCGACTGGTATAAACTGCACTTGAATTCGTTTGTTGTTTTTTGTTCGTATTTGTAGGATTGTTTTTTTGTAATTCGATCTCTTTATCAAGCTTATTAAATTGTTGTCTTTCTAATTTAAGATACTCTTTGATTTCTTCGTGTGTTTTAGGATATCCTGACGCGCTGTAGAACTGAAAATGTAAAGTATTCACTTTCCACACATACTTGTCGTAGATAGAGTCAATAAAGCCTTTAAGATCTTCAGCAGTTGGTCTGTTTTCCGGAATAGGGTCCCAACACTTTTCAATAATAAATTTACAGCATCTGGGAACATTATTTGGTAAAGTAGGTCGTACCCCTTTATATATGTCGCAAACAAGATACATATCATGACTTCGCTCACCAAATGGTCGTTCACCAAATACAACCTCGTACACAACCATTCCAAAGCTATAAATGTCTGCAGCTTTAGTGTATGGCTTTCCACTTAATACTTCTGGACTCATATAAGGAAGTACACCACAAATTACTTGATTTGATTTTCCTACTTCTGCTGGGCTGATAAGTCCAAAATCAGTAATTCGAGGAATGTAACCAAATAATAATATATTTCCAGGATGAAGATCACGATGTACCAATTTATCCTCGTGCATTTTTGTTAAATCATTGATAATATAAGATAAATAATATAATTTGTTTGTTAATTTTTCGTAGTTGGAATTAATATATTTACGGAGATCACCATTTTCTGAATAATCCATTATTACTGAGTATTCATTCGTAGTTGGGTTTTTGGTTATTCCATAATAACCAAACCTACCAAACTTACTGCATTTAAGAGTAGTCTGAATCTATTTTTGAAAAATTTGATTCTATCAGAAAATGAAAAGCAACTTTCATTTCAGAAAATGTTTATTTCTTACCCATTTTATAAACTCTGGAGCAATTTGTCTTGAATTGTGTAATGATTTTAACACAACTTTTTCGTCTCCATTTCGTTTAAATTTATTTTCTTCATGATCCCACTTTGGATTATAATACAATCGTCCATCCAACCAGGTTGCTTTATAAATTGACCCAAACCCTCCCTTTGCAAGATATTCAACGTTGGTGAATCTTCCAAAAGGAATCCATTCGAATAGTCTATATTTAATATCGTCATCATTTTTATCAACATTATTGATTTTATTGCATTCTTTTATTATATTATCGATATCTTTATCTCCGCTAGACAATTCATCGTTATAAATTCGTTTGTGATATTTGAAACAGTCATCGCAGTCCATATTGCGTTGACAATTAGTACATTTACTACAATCATGAGTATTGTGAACCAAACACTCATCGCAGTAGTAATTTCGTCGACAATAATAACATTTACACGTACAATGTCGAATGTTCGATTCCATCTTTAAGTTCACTTTATAAAATGCGAATTACTTGAAATGATAGTAAAATAAACGATAAAGTTGTTGCTATTATGCATGTATGCATTAAAAGCAAGCTTCTTACATGATCGATGTTGTTGCCGTGTAACACATATCTCCGTTTCCGATGCATTTTTGTTTTTATTACCAATAGTTTACCAATTAAAATACCCCACGTAGTTATCCCCTTAATTTGTACTCGGGTTTGGTATATATCGGCATAATTTACTTTTGCTCCTTTTTTCTTTTATGCTATTGTTCTTTTCCATGCATTCTTTTTCTATTTATAATATTTTTACCATCCATGAAAACATTGTTGTCAGAACTTTGTGAAGAAATAATCGGTGCATATCATGTAGAAAATAATGCTTCAATCATTGTCTTTAACTTGACCATTCTGAAGCAAACAATATGAGGTAAAAACTGATTTATTTCCATATCCTGTAAAACATCAAAAAAATAATTTTCAAATATCTCACGCCAATTTGAAAATATCCATTTTTAAATTAATGGATTTTGTTCGTAAATAGTATAGTTTTGAGACTATCAAAACTAAATATGGATGCATACGCGCGTTTATTTGGCATTACTTTTTTTCTTTTTCGTACATAATAAAATACGGCATAATAAACTTAACTACTAATTTTTTTTATTTAAAAATATATATTAGGTAGAATTCGACCTATCCCACCATCTCGTATAGCCACCTCGTGCCTTTATTACATCACGAATTCTTTCTGGCATCGAGTGAATCAGGTTGGTACAGGTTTCAACATCAATTTCCTGCCAAACCTGTTGTATCTTGTTCCACAAGTCTTCCTTACCCGAAATTTGCCCAGGAAGACACCGGAGACGACGATCAACCTCATTCCATAAATGCTCGATGGGGTTTAGATCGGGAGATTGTGGTGGCCAATCCAAAACTCGAACTCGATTGTTCCTAAACCACCGTTTCGTCGAAATTGCCGTATGTTTAGGATCCCCGTCTTGTTGGAAAATGATATTTCTAACAGTAAACCCATGATCTCTAATGGTATTCATAAGATCCTCACGAAGTATTTGTTGATATAATTCGGCAGTCATGATACCATCGATCTTACAAAAGCCACCAACACCCCGGGATGTAAAACAACCCCAAATCATCACGGACCCACCTCCAAACTTTACCGTAGGCTTAATATGAAACTGGTTTAATGGCTCCCCTGGAAGTTTCCAGTAATATTGCTTCCCATCTGAACCGAAAATTTTAAACTTAGATTCGTCGGACCATATAACCTTTGACCAATCTTCGATGGTCCAATTTTCATGATTTTGTGCAAATTCTAACCGCTTTTTTTGATTACTTTACTTAGGTAGGGTTTTATTCATGTTACCAAACCATTATCCCACAATATACGACGAATAGTAGGTGGTGATATATTCATATTTTCTTGGATGCATTTTTGGACTTCTACTGACGAACACCTCCGGGAAGTAATAAGGTTGACAATTTTTTTTTATTGGTTCATTTATTGCAGATGGTCGACCAGACTTTACCGCATCTTCAAGAGAACCTTGTTCGTGCCATCTTTTATTAATACGAGAGACTGTTAAGGGGCTAATATTTTTTGACTTTGCTATTTGTCTTGTTGTATATCCATTTTGAAGAGCAAGAAGAATTTGTGCGCGCTCTTTTAGTGTGGCGTCTTTGTGTTTTAATTTGTTGTCCAAAAAGTTGCAACATCATACGACATGTAAACAACACACTTTTATATTGCATGAGAGGACCATAACACAAGTTTGGTTGTATTTTCGTATTTATCTAAAAATAGGGACGAGGCAAATCACGTGAAATTTTCATGATTATGATTGGTCAATTCAGATAAAATTCTGATTGGTCGAGGAAAATAAAGGTGATTAATATCACAGGAAATTATAAATGTTTTGTTTTTTTGTTTTTGTTTTGTTTTTGGTTTTGGTTATGATTGGATTTGAGTTTGGTTTTGATTTAGTTTTTTTTTTCTTAATATTAGAAAAAAAAAAAATTTTTTTGCTTTTTGGTTTAGTTATCATGTCCATCATCTCTTCAGTTATTATTTCTACTATATCTTTAATTATTACTTCTGCTATATTTTCAGTTATTACCTCTATTATATTTCAGTTATTATGACTTCTTTAATATCAAAGCTTATATCAGATGAAAAATGATGTTATCTTTTTAATATAAATAATTTTTTAGAAATTTCAATAAATAAAATGGAATTTATATGAATATATAAATAGTAATATTCAGAAAATTTTTATTTGTCATTTTATAAAGTATTAGAAATCAAGTACTTGATAAAAGAAAAATATTTCAAATAAAAAATATCAAATAACAAGAACATGGCCATCTGATCTTTGTCTTGCAAAAATTAAAGTTACTTGAATAATCTTTTTAAAAATAGTTCAAGTAGAATGATATAAAAATATTCCAAACTATATACATTCTTTATTAGAAATTGATAGAATAAAATAATCAAAAGTTATTAGAAGTTTAATTAAAATAGAGATAATTAAAAATTATTTATCTTTAGTAATTACATGTAAAATTATTTTATTAATAATTATAAATAAGATAAAATGCAATATAAATAAGTTTTAATTTTATAACTTATAATTGTTTTTATTATTTAAAAATATTCAGATCTGAAGTTATTTTACAGAACA